ACTAAACGTTTAATCAGTATAACGCTTATAATTCAAAACATTTAATCACAGAGTCCGAAATTATAAAGTACTTTATTAAAGTAATTTAAATATTTTAATTTCAATACAATCTATTACTGACATTCATTTTGAACTTTTTTACCAACTGCAGAATGTGACTACGATTTTTATTATCGCCATTTATAATGAATTTATGGCTTGAATCCGAAAATACTCATGACTGCCCTTCATTTCGATTCTTATATATGACTGATAATAATTCTGCTGGTGTTTGTCATACCATATCAAATTTAAATTTTAGTGCTAATTTTATTTTTCATTAATATGCTTTAAATGGCATTTATTAAAACGAACTTAAAATTGAGCAAAATATTAACTGACCGAATTGGTAGGCCACAAATCACTGTATGGCACAACCCAACTGATCAACGTTTCCGCACGCGTTCCGATTACTTTCTTAGCAAAAATAGATCTTATAGCTTCATTGCATTCTTTGCTTATGCTATGTATAACGAAAGCTTTCTCATCACGTATCAAACTTATATCCGAGCGCTTACAATCATTTAAAAGTTCAAACTGAGACATCTACAAAGTCTTTAATCATTTCTTTACACTGTATTTTCTTAAGAGTAATCCTAGTAGATAATCATAATATATAATTATTCACAGTAACTGAAATTTTGCTATTCAAATAAAAATACCAGTAATGGTTTTTAGCTGGAAATACCAGTTATTGCTGATAAAGAAACAAGTAATATTAAATAAGAAACAACTGAAGAAAGAATGCGGCGATTTTCATAACTGAAACTATTCAAGTAATATTAAATGAAGTCAAGAAAATCTCAGTCACCTGAAAAACTTTAGCAAAACTAAACAGTTTTATCTATTTTTGCAATTAATAATTAATCATACGAAATAGCAAAATTTAACTTTTAAAAGTGTACATTACTGAGCGAATTTTGAGGTATGACAAGTGTTAATTGAGCTGATTTGGCAAAGTTTGCACGTAGTACTGATAATAATAATATTAAAATGACATCGAGTAATGAATTAAGCCACATCACACCTCAAATATCGTCCTTGACAATGATCGAGCCAGATTCATCTTCACAATATATATTAAGTGATTTACGTGGTCGTTATTAAAGTAAAACTAATTGAAATAAAGTCAAATTATCAAAAAATTTGCATAAGGTACGAATAATATAAAATTTTTGAGAGGATTAAGAAAAATGATTTCAGCTTTCTTTCATGATTCGATGCAATTGGAAAAAAGACTTATGAATTTTAAACATCCTAAATCCACTATCTATGCTTCAAAATTTTTTTATTTTATGTCTCATATGTTAGATTCAGAGTACGGGAATAAAATAATGATCATAAACAATTTCAGTTTGCAACAAAAGATAGTAATATATATTTGATATAAATATATTAATTACTATTATTAGTAATTAATAATAATTAATATTATAGTAAAACGGACGATGTGATATTTTAGATTATCAGTAACAATGGCGATAATATTGATCTTGGCACACTGATAATGAGATCAGAAGGTTTTGAATGATTGTGAAGCACTGGTTGATTTGTAGCTTTTTTATCAGAGGTCATAAATTGAGTAGAACTTTCCATGACCTTTAGGCGCTTCGGAGTAATTTTATCTATTTTATTTTACCTTTAACATCAAGGAAGAAAATTTGTTTGTTTGACTGTATAACATTTGAGTTTTTTGATTGAATTTTGAAATATCAATTTGATTTTTTTTTCTGTTGTAATACAGATTATCATCATTGTTATTGACAACTCAAAATATCATTTATTATTGTCACTATTATTATTAATAATAATATTATTAGATCACTATTATTGTTCTTCTTATTATTATTAATATAGTAATAATAATAATTATTACTATTATTATTACGCATAATTCTGTGGTAATAGCAGCGAATTTAACTATTACATTTTCGTAATATATAACATAGATGTACAAAATACTTCAAAGATTTGGATACTATTAATAAAAGTTTTGACATTCAAAATATTTCCTATTTAGTTGTTGTACCACAAATTAATCTTTAACTTTTATTAGTATTTTATTGACATAAAATTTTTTAAATTTACAAGTTATGATAAATTTTTAATCAAAATACAATAATGAATTGTTACAGCAAAATTTATCTGGGAGCGACCATTATCACAGCGTATAAAAGTGGAGCCAAGTGTCAAATTTCAAACTTTTTTAGATGAATTGCGAAAAAACTAAAAAATCGCAACCTTTGAAATAAGTAAGTTTTCTAAAGTTTTATTTTTTGTAGCAAGACAAATTAAACATATTTTTTTTATAAACAAGCGGATAATTTGTCTTACTCTATAGACAAATAAGGTAAAAATATTATAGATTATGAAGTAGAAAGTCACTTTTATGTTTACAAAAACGATTTTACTAATAAGTACTTAATTGTATTACAAAATACATAAGTAATATCTAATTTTCTCGATTCTGATTAGATTTTATAAATTGTAACGAATTCAGTACAAAAATATCAATACAAGTTAGCGAAAGATTTCAATTTATTATTTCAGTTTTTGCAAAACTCAGAAAATATAAACTATGTTTGTACTGAGTGAAGTGTAATTAGCTCACTTATACTTAAAATAAATTATTAAAATCTTTTTGAATTTTATTTTTCGTGAAAATTATGAATTATTGTCATGATTCATTGGTTTCTGACAAAAACAATTGAAAGACAATCTTTTTGCAAGTGATTTTTTTGGCTATCAGTTGATGTTATGAAGTGTTTATCTGATTATCAACTTGAATTCTGTATTATGAATAATAATCTTTAAAAATCAGGTAATTTAGTGAAGTTTAGATTCTTTTGCTTGCTGTTAACTCATTTTTTCCTGTCTTTTTTTTTGCCATTTCTGACTTCGAAAAGAAAGTTTAGAAGTACTTTCTTTAGAATTAATATCGGAAGAAGTAACTTGTCACAGACGGTTGTTCAGATATTCAGCAAAGCAAAAGAAAAAAATCTTTCTATGAGTGAGCAAGAAAGGAGAAGTCAAGATTCGACGGAAAAATTGCGTGTTTCTCCGAATCTTACTAACATTGAAGGAAGAACGAAGATATTACTCACAGTAAAAGCTGCTTTTAGACTCTATAAGCAATATGCAAGTGAAAGACAAAAGCAAACTATACTACGCTCACTTCGAAATCAGTCACTAATATCTTGCTTCAAGGAAGATTTGGATGCTGACGATGTTTGCGAAGAATGTAGTGATGAAGTATATATTCGACAAAAAATAATTATGAATATTATTAAGTATACTAATGTAATTCAACGCGACACATTTGTTACGCGAATACATTTACGAAATATATTAGAAACAATAAAAAAGAATAAAGAAGCATCTGAATCTAAAGCATCATTTCAAATTGCACCTCCTAGGATCATATTTGAAGATTACTTAATATGGAATAATGAGTGTATTCCTTGTTCGCAATTTTTACGAACTACAGAAGCAGATATTGAAACACATGAACCAATAATTGCTGATGTATTGATATTTATAATAGCAAATTTACGTCAAATTGTTTCATGTAACAAAGATGTGTGCAAACAACTGAATAGCTTACTACATATTTATCGTAGTTTTATGACAACTATGGGGGGTAACATAACGGTATGTCACAAAATTGTAGAAATTTATCGTCAGAGACAATCACTGGATTATAGTGATTGCCCAATTTTCCAGTACTCAATACTACTTAAGCATATGATGAAAGCATGGACTTCAGTGAATGCATACGTAGAAATGGTAATTTGCTTGCTCACTTCCGCAAATTGGGATGCAAAACGTGATATAAGTTATTTTGATGATAATGGAACTGAGAAAGTAGAAGTAGAAGTAGAAGATGAGGCCGCAGATCAACCTGGAACAAGCTCTGTTAAATATGTTGTCAAAAAATCTAGCACATCAGAAGTTAAGAAGGATGATACAAGTCCTAAACTTCCCTCAAAGCCAACTTGCAAACATGTCTTTAGAAGGGTAAAACTGAGAGCAGATGGTCAGTCAGCAAGTGAATGTACTGGTCCTCCACTACCAACTCAGAAATCTCATGGAAGAACTGACAGTAACACCACACTACCACCAAAAGTGCATTATTGTTTGGAACATGGAGTTGCATTCGTACCGATAGAAACGCCAATAATGGAAATAAAAGTGGACTCCGAGCCTACAGCTGAATCAGAAGTAAAAGTAAAAACAGATTCAAAGCCATCATGTGATTCTGATCACGGAAGTGAAGCAAGGGAGCGACAAAGAGAAACGTCAGTACATGAAAGTGAAGAAAGTGACGTCGAACAAGAAACAGTAATATCAACTCCGAGAGGCGGCAAAACTTCACGTAACGGGAAAGGGAAAGGAAAAAAACGAGTAAAATTTTATTCAATAATTGAAATAATGCAATTATTAAAATTAAAAAAATTTACTACTTATGATATTAAGCACTCGAAAACTATTTTTTATACCACTGATTTTTTAATAATTGCATTTTTTATTTGTAATTTATAAGAAGAGAGAGAATATTGTATATAATATATTACTACTAAGAAACCTTTTTAGTAATTCGTTTACAGATTACTGGGAGTATTTATATAGACTAATTGAATGAATTAATAAACATTATATCAGAATTGCAAAAAGTTTAAAAAATAGGATTAAAGTTTTGAAAGCAATTAAAAAATTAATTATAAAGATCAAGCTCTGTACAAAGTTCACAATAACATTCACAGTCACTTTAATAAATTAAAATTATTGTAAATTTAATTAAATTAATGCAAAATTAATTCGAAATCTTTTCAGAAGCAAAAAAAGAAAAAATAAAAGTGAAGAAAAATAACAGATTTTAGAAATGGACACGAAGTGGTATGGTCTCAATGATAAGAGTAGCTTTCAAATACTTTTATACGGTTCAAATTTTTTATATTTCGCGTGTACAATTTGCTTTTGGTTTGAAAAACTGCACGGAAAATAAATTTTTATTCAATTATTTCTCAAAAAACTCTTCGCAGCAAAGGTACTGACATATTATGGGAGTTTAATACATGTTTATATATAACTCATTACTTATTATAATTTTATACTTAGTTATCGCATTAACACTTGTATGTACGGATGAATAATTGATATCTTTAATAGATTTGCGAAGTAAAAATGGCAAAATTATTAAGATTCCATGTACAAAACTTTCAACTATTTCTTAAATTTTAGATCTGAATAGCAATTAATTGATATAATTAGATATCTTGTCAAAAATCTTAAATCTTAAAACTAGAACTTAAATATTCGTGTATTTACTTTCATTTTACAACCGTATTTAATCTTTTATTCAATAAATAAATATAGATAACAGCAAAACAGCTTTATTAAAATTAATCAGATCAAAAATTGATTCGCTTTAAACGATTGCTTGATTTTAAGATGAAACCTTTCAGCTTCAGAAAATATCATATCATTCGCAGACTTTGCATAATAACTTCTGATAAGTGTTTATTTTGAATTCTGTACAATTTTTTAAATGATTTTTATTGAATTGTTGACATATTTTACAGTTGTAATTTAAGATTACTTCCATTTTATTGTCTTTTCAAGTAATAATTTATTCTATTTGTTGGCTGAGATCAAAATTCAAATTCAAATTACAATACTATTTATGTGATCTGCCAGAATACATAAATTGATTAAATAGATTGTTCTTCTTTTTTGTACTGATTCTTAATGATTTAATATTTTTTAGATCAATCAAATACTTTTGTCTATGCTTATATTCATATTAAAATTTGTAGTGAGAAAATTTCATTCTTGAAAACTTTTTCTAAATTTTTGAACTTACTTGAAATTATTTTAATTCAATGTTTATTGTTTTTTGATGGAATAAATAAAGAATTTCTTTATTACAGCATTATCAACAATGAATTGATAATTCAGCAAACAGCACATTAAATTTTTATGACAAATGCATTAATACCAAGCATTCTTAATTCTCACCCTAAAAGCATTACAACAATTTAGTGTTAAGTATGCAAAAATATACACAGCTATTAAAAATTAGCATAAATGATTATTACATCAATTTTGTTGCATAACTCTCTTTTTCAAATTAAGCACTTTTTTAGCTATTTTTGAGTGGAAAAAAAATTGCGAATTACTTATTAGTTTGCGAATTGTCTTAATTTCGAATTAAGAAAGGTGAAAGAAAGAACTAAATAACATGCTTTTAATAAATTATATCCATAAAATATATAATTAATGCAAATTCAATTTCTTGATCATATCTTAGAATCACATAGAAGGCATAATTTAAATAATTTAAATTTAAAATGAATTTTTTTAACAAAAACAATTTTTTATTAAATGATGAAAAAAATTTATTTTACAGCTTTTATTCAATAATAACCGGTGGTGGTTCCTTAAAATGAACCAATTCTACCATTTTGTCGGGCAATGTGATTAATTCATTGAACGATAGATAACCGTCCCTATTGGTATCTAAGAATGCAAATGTTTGTAGTATTTCCTCTTCACTGACCTGAATTTTTTTGCATTAATTACATTTAATGTATTGTAAGATATGAATTTCATATTTTTGTACTGAAGTTGACTTTTATGTACAAAAATAAGCACTTATTAAACAGTAATTACTCATGGATTGTGTACTATTTAAAGACAAATTCTTTTTTGAGTAGCTTTTTAAAATTTATTTGAATTGACCAAACTATTGGTGGAAAAAGATTTAATTGCTTGCTAGTTTTCTTCAGCGTACACAAATCCAACTATTTCAAATTCAAGTAATTCGAATTCAAGTATTTTACAACTTATTTAGATTGAATTATTTCTGTTATAAAAGAAGTATAATTTTTAAACTTCTTATAAAAGTAATATAAACGTAATAACTCAAACTCATTTACTATTTTAGTATTTGTATTTAGTTCTTCAAATCTTTTCATACTTTGTTTTTTGATTTCAGTAAACGCTTGCTAATCAGAAAAATAATCACTTACTTGCGCATTTGTATTAGCAAAGCTGTGTACTTCTTGAACAGTTAATTTGTAATCATTATTTTGATCAATGAGTACCATCATTTGCTGTGCCATTTCACGATTTTGTTCTGCCTATAATTCTTTCAACTAAAAACTAAACTTTCAATCTGAAAAATTTCTATTAAAACTTCAAAAATAGATAAATAAATAAATTAATTAATTAATTAATTAAACCATTCATATCTCTTAGACTTGCTTTCTTAGCAATATTTTTGTAAAAGTATTTTTATTATATTTATTAAATTGACTGAATCATAAAAATTCATAATTAATAACTGAAACTAATTGTACAAACGCAGCAATAATTTTTTGATTTAAATAATAATAAAAAATAAAACATTTAATAAGAATAAACTGATTTACTTCT